TTACTATTTATCTAATAGAAACATTGATATAAATTATATTTGTTCACACTTATAAAAAGATAAATCTATTGAATGGTATAAGTATTTGGCCGTGAGCCAAATCAGCAACTCAAATTTATCTGTGCTGGTTGCTTTAAAACCAGAATATAATACGTGAGCACTTATACTGATATTGTTATTTTTCTTTATTTTGGTGTAAATGTTATGTATTTATTGTGTATATATTACAAGTTTACATATGGTTGAATCTACTGCCACTTAGCCGATGTTACCCGATATCTCTGTTATTTATAAAAATAGAGGACAAATATAAAGTGTTTTGGAATCATCATGCTTACTAACTAAAGCCTCACGAAATTAAATAATATTATAGAAAATAAATAAATAATAATAATAATTTTTTACTTTCCTACTGCTACCAGATAAGGAAAGTATTGCAATCGCGTTAAATGTTTGATGTATGGTTTTCAACGATCTTTACAGTTCAGAGCCCCCTGAGTCCAAGGTGTATTATATAGACAGTGTAATCAGTAGAATAAAAAAGTGCATGCCTATTAATATATAAATTATTAATAAGAGAACCTTTTGTTATTATGTATAATTTATAATGAAGAAAGTTTGTAATTAATGATTTATTAATACAATTTTTATTAATTGTATTAATAAACTCGCTTATTCTTTGTATTAAATTTTTTTCAGTGGAATTACTGTACGACTTTTATATTATGATCAAGAATAACTTCATTCTGAAACTGTTTTAAATGTAAATTTTTGTTTATGTTTAACTTTGAAATTATTTTGTTATGGATTGTATGCGTATTAGTTAGTCCTTATATGCATGATGTTTTAGTTTAAAATTAGTAATTTTCCCATTCGTCTTAAATCATGACACTTAAAATCCTGTGTATGGCTTAGTAATATCTGTCAGTTATGCCAGAGGAGTTATGAATGTGTTAGTGAACGGTAGGGGGAAAAAAATCCTCTAATAAAATTAAGTCCAAAAATTCATATATATTTTTTAATACAAATTAAGAGTTTTATTGGACGCCATAAACAAATGTGAATTGGTTTTTGTAATTTTTTATGCATTTAAGTTCATTTAATATAATCAACAATATTTTTACTCAAAAAAAAATTCAATTGATAAATTATAACTAACCTATAAATGCATTCAGAGCAAAGTCAGAAAACGTTAATATAAATCAGGAGTTGAAACTTTATGGAAGTTTTTTAAAGCTCCATTTTAACAGAGTCCGTGAAACTTTTTTGGAAAAGAGTTCTTAAAATAAAAGTTCTAAGAATGATTTTTTTTTTGTAATAAAGTTCCAGGATTATGAAGAAAGTGTAACTTATATTCATTCAAGTTCGTAAAAAGAGCTCCGTTAAATGAAAAATAATCAGTAATTGGGCTTAGATTAGAGTTATAATTTGTCTTAAATGAATTACACATGATTATAATGTAGTTTGTTTGAGTAGCTATGATTAAAAGTCATTTTTTAGACCTACTTTTTAGCGAAATCAACAGAACTTTTAAATAAAAGTTTTTTGTCCATTTTAAGCTCTGATGTAAACAAACGGTATAATTATTACAATTTATTTGTTTCGACCTAGTATCGCCAAAAAAAGTTTTATTGAAATCAGTGATCTCCTATATGTAACTCCCCTTGCGAGAAAGAAAAAAATTTATTGAACAAATATTCATTGAGTATTGTGTCTAAAAATACTATGTTGATGTGTTCACCTGTGAAGGGGCTTTATTTGAAGACTTTTTTTTAATATCGACATATAAATACTTTTCATCTCACTAACATATAACATATAAATACTACATCATCCCTACGATATAGTAGTCAGGTTTTTTTTTTCTTTTAATTGTTTACAAATTTCTGGTAAAATAGAATCAACTTGGAAGTGAATAAAAATTTAAAGTTTTCTTTTTAATTATATTCAGTATATTTAGGCACTGTATTTTTCTCTTCTTTAGCTATTATTAATTGTCAAGGTTGCTTTTTCTTATTTCATTTCAACGTTTACTTGTATTTCAGAAATATAAATTGATTCCAAAAATATTAGTTATGTTGTGTTGTGTCTGCTGGTTAAGACAGTTTCAAGATGAAATGTGCTGTATTTAGTTTTCCATAGATTTTACTGATTATAGACTATGTAAAAGTTGTACATATTTAGTTAGATTCGTTCATATTTTGTCATTAGTTGGATTGAGGCTCTCATTAGAAGTATTGTTGCTTGATTTGTACCAAACAACCGCTGTTATAATTATTTAATTCTTTTAATTTAGTATGATACATTACTTAAATATATATATACATATATAGAGTGAGCTGAAAGGAACAGGCTAAACTCCAGGTGCGCACAGAAAGGTAATAAAAATAGCTCATATTGTCAGTTTATTGCAAAAAGTCATTAAGTAACATTTTATAACCTTAACTAAAATGAAAAACTTTGAATAATTTTTTTTTTTTTTTTAATCTGAAACTTGTACCCTTATTGTAACTATATTTGATCTATAAAAGGGTTTGTTTCATTTTCATGCCCTTAAAGTGTTTATTATTTTTAATGTTAAATAAAGTCGAAATTCATAAAAACATTTTTGAAAGTTATCCTATATCAAAAATGCACTTGGTGACTTTTTGCTATAAAATGACCATCATATGTTCTTTATCCAATTTTCATTTCTTCAAATTTTATTGTCTAATTACTAGTAAACAATATTTCATAAATGTATTAGCATTTTGGTTATCAAAGTCTTATTTTAATAAATTTTCAAAAATACCATCACTGACTTCTAATCATGTTTAATCCCTGGTACAGACACCTTTTTATCAAATTATTAACATCTTTCTGAAAATTTGTAAATAGCTTCATATCATCTACAAATATTTTATTTATGAAAATCGTTGGAATTGGGACGTTTTTAATCTGGAGGTCGGCAAACTTTGTCTATTTAATCAGGTACTAAAAACTCGTAAATACCCATTTGCTTTTCACTTGAATTGTAAGATAATTTGAGCACTAAATTGAGAAAAAAAAAAACATGGCCTTTTGGTATGTAATAAAATAAAATATTGAGCCGTTTGGTTTGACCTGCACCCCCCAAATCATCAAAATAATGAGATTATATATCCCAAATGGACTTATAATTTTGTAGGCCACCTTTTTTGTACATTTTATGATCAAATTATCTCAAGATCCAAGTAGTAAGCAAATGGGTATTTACTGGTTTTTAGTACCTAATTAAATAGACAAAGTTTGCCGACCTCCAGATTGAAAACGCCCCAATTCAAAGAACTTTCGTAAATAAAATATTTGCAGGTTACGATGAGATGAAGCTATTAACGAAGTTTCCTGTGAATGTTAATAATTTGATAAAACAGGGTGTGTACCACGGACTATTTCACTTTATCTCTTCGGACGGCGACACTTGCCCTCCTGACTGTTTCATATCTTCCTTTCTAAACATACCTGTTACATTTTTAATAAGATGAATTAGTGCATCGTAAGTATCTAATTTTACTTTGTGTACTTCATCTTTGAACCAGCTTCATAAGTAATGATACAGTGAGGTCTAGAGATCTTGAAGGTCTACTAATTAGACCACCCATAGCAATCAAACGATTTGGAAACATTCCATTTTTGCCCTTCGGAGACAAAGCCCGAAAATATTTAAAAGTCGATGGTGATATTTTCGAACATTTATTAGAACTAGAGGGTACATACGAATAATTCGCACAGTATGTTGATTGGACAGTGATTTAATTAATTGAAATGACAATTTAATAAGAAAAGAAAATAATGAATGCAATGAGTTATTCACAATTAAAGTTTCTTTTCCTTCATAACTTTTTTTTTTCCTGAAACTTCAGAGAGATCTGATTATTTTTCCCACCTGAATCATAAGGAATTTTCAAAATGATAGTTCGATCTTGGGATTTGTTGAAGAATTTATGTTGATATGGTGTACTGACAAAAAACACCTTTGAAAAATAATATAAACTCCTCCTCTCTCGATCATAGGGACATCAAGTCGACGACATGAGACATATTTCCTATAACAACTCTTCAATTAACGTGAGGTTGTATGGATGCGAACCCTTTGCCTTGCATTATCTCCAAAAGGGTACATTTTTGTGTTTTAAAATGCAGGGCTCAGTAGTTCCAAGGGAACTAACCGAGTTATGGTGTCCACATCTAAATCTTCAAATCCCAATTAGTCCTGTATCGATCCACTGACTTACCATCATTCCAGAATTTAAGTCTAGCAAAATGTTTATAGCAACTTTATTTATTTTAGAAAGAATAATAAATGCAAATAGTACGATTCGCTAACCTCCTCCCTCTCCATGGAATTCTAGATCCAATGGTTCCCCATCAATGACAGAAGCTTACATTTAATATAAAACCGATTTCGAGCCTTACTGTAATAATATATGTGGAGATCAGACCAGATCTGGGTGAAAAGATTTTTTTCTCTAAAATAGAATTTTAATCGCCTAGTATTTCAATTACTACTTACTTTTAAATTAATTCTCTTAATTATTTAATTTAATAAGTATTTAAATTTCAAATAATAAATACTTTTTCTGTAAAAGATTTAAATATTTGGTGATTAAAACTGTATTTTAGAAAAACAAAATACTTGGTATTTTAAACAAAGTATAAAATAATAATACATTTTTGCCGAGGTCTGGATCAGACTTTGATAACCGAAATGATAATACATTTATGAAATATTGTTTATTTGTAACTACCTAAAAAAATTTAAACAAATGATAATTGAATAAGAACATATTAGTGTTGTTTTTATTATTTCTCTTTGTCCTATCCACTCTTGGAATTTTGTCCGTTCTTCCTGATTCATTCTGTATATATATATATTTAAAGTAAGCTATCAGTGGCTTTATTGATTATTTTTTGCTCTGTTGGAGTCACTGATATATTTCATTTTAATGTAAAAAATATTTTTAATATCTGTGATGTTATAGTTTGACAGTTACTACGTCGGTATACCCAGTGCCGTCGATATGTTCCCAAGACCAGATCTCTGATTGGTTCGACTCTCTGGCCGAGTGCCTCCATTGGAACGTGAGGAAACGGCAGAAGCACCTCGATGAGTTGAGTGACCTCACTCACTCGAGCTCTAACGACACTCTTGACTCTCTAGATCACACTGACCACATCGACAGCTAACCAGGTTTATAAAAGCTATTTGTTCTTCTGCTAATAACTCTTCTAATTATTTTTTTAATTAGTAATTATGTATATTTTTTAATTTCTTTTGCAGAAACACGAAAGATTGTTTTGGATGTCCCTTTGAGTTGGTGGCGGTCTACTTAGACATTTTATTTTATGTTCTCTTTTATTACTGTGTAAATATGAATTTGCATGAAATGAGGCAAACTATATGAATTTGTCATGTTATTTTTATACATTTTTACCAGAACAAATTTTACCATAACATTTTTTGTTTTTTTATAAATATATAATTGTATATTAAAAATTTAAAGAATATAAATATATATATCTACAATAAAGCTGATAGATAATTTTTGTGTAGTTTATGAGTATAAAATACACATTAATATATTATCTATATTGTGTTATTGATAACCACAAATTTGATAGTTGTAATTAAATTTTGTAAATTATTGTTTACTATAAAGAAATTATTTTTGTAATTTTTTTTTTTTTTCTGAAACCTCAATAAACTTTTCATTCCCTTTTCACTTTAAAATGTTATTTTAAACCTGAACAGAATCATAATGCTATCTGAAGTATTTGATATCTAAGCTTCTAAAGAATGTGTATGGTTATGTACAGTGGCCAGCAAAAGTTTTGATACACGCATTGGTTTAATATTAAAAACAATTCTTTACTACATATGTTTTTCATTTAAAAGTCTAAGTATAATTTCAATATCACTTTTATTAATTTTATCAAAAATAATTTCCCCACAATAAATAAATGTTAAGTAATTATTGGAAAATTCCAAACCACGCAGTCTTATGTCTCCAAAATGCAGACAAAGAAAAACCCGTCAACATTTCGCCAATTCAAGTATCATCAGTACAGAAAAGAAGAGCTAATCGAACATCATTCAATGAAATCCAATCTGATACTGCTGTATAAATAATAAATGAATATATTTAAAAAAATAAACAGAAATAAATTTTAAGCTCAAAAGAAGAATGGTTGGGGTCAGTAAAAAAAAAAAAGTAGTAAAAATAAATAATTATATTTATTTTTATATTTGCCGACGTTTCGGTCTAAAGTTCAGGGCTTGTCAAGCATAGAGGTGGCCCAAGACCAATAATATAATAATAATAAAAGGCTCAGCGAACCCGAAGGTTCGATGCCGACACCGCCAATCACTTATTACTCACCTTCCTCCACCGTTCACTGTCCGAACCCAGTCCCTTCAGATCGGTTTTAATGCAATCTTCCCATCTTTGATTCTGTTTACCATTCAGTACAGCAAATATTAACCTTTTAGGAATTCTTTCGATAATAAACCCAATTATTTTACGAGCCCATTTGATTTGCTGCGATGTAATCACCTCAATTATATTAAACGGATACAGTTCATGCAATATGGTGTTGTGTAACCGTATAAAATCTCCAGTTAACTCATTTTTTGGTCTGAATATTCTATGCAATAATTCATTTTCTAAAACCTTAAGAAGTTGCTCATCTCTTGATGTAAGCGGCCACGTTTCGCATCCATAAAGAACTGTAGGTAGCTAAGTACTTTTGTCACAGAAAAATAACAAGTATTTCTCCCCTTCAACTTAATCTTAACTTCTCTATGTGTTCAAACATATTACCTTCTATATTGGCATCATCAGCAATATCGTCCTTTTTGCAGCTAAACATATTTTTTGTCTTATCCATGTTTATTTCGAGCCCTAGTTCTTTACTGGCTTTCATTAACATTGTCATATTTAGTTTTATAGTTCTCATGTCTTTCCTTAACAGGAACAGATCATCCGCATAGCCAAGCAGGGGTGTTGTCTCTCCCAGATCCAATGCTTTTTCGGTATGCATTACCTCCCTATTGGCTTGTTCTAATACCAAATTGAAAGGACAGGCGAAAGGGAATCAATCACCTTAATCTAAATCCGAACGAACCTCAAACTTTTTGGATAAATTATTATTGATTCTAACTTTATTCACTGTTTCCATCATGCACATCCTGACTAGATTTACAACTTTTTTTGGAATCTCCTGCTAGATACATAATCATATTATATAATAATTTGTTTTTGTCAAAAGTTTTAAATGAAGTTCTTGGTATTTCAGTACTATTTAAGTCATTCAGACATCAATAGGGGTCAATTAGGAGGGTATTTTTCTCCATTCTTCCAACAACTTAATTTTACTAGAATTATATTTTCATTTATGAACTGTGGTTTGACAGGAACACACAATCAGGACTCTGCAGACGAGTTTCATGGTCATTTGGATAATTATATAGCAACCATTCCCATGTGTGGAGAAGTTGGGCTAAAGTTTGTTGACCAGTTAAAATTACAAAGGAGTAGTTTTGGGTATTCTGAAATATGCGTCCTCAGCCTGGAACCTAAACCTCCCGCACCGACAGAAGAGTAGGCTAGCATCGATTCAGAAATTGGCGTTACTTCAGGTTACTAGAGCCTGTAGAACGATATCTCATGAGTGGCAGTGCAAGTACTGGCAGGGGGGACTCCTCTCGATCATCTCCTGCGAGAAGACTATTACCTCTTTAAAATGAAAAGAGAAGGTTCGGCGGAACTACTGGAACATTTAAAGATGAGAATTTAAGAAGACTCAAGAAGATGAAAAAGGAGGACACAATTGATCAATGGAACCGGCGATGGATGGCAAGTCCGAAGGTAGCTACCCTAAGAAAGTACTTCCCCACGATCAAGTCACGATTAGATGCAAGATGGGTCCTCCCGGATTACTGAGTGTCTCAACTCCTCACAGGACATGGGGGCTTCCGAGCGAAGCTCGTTAAACACGGGAAGAATATTGATCCGCTATGCCGCAACTGCAACGTTCCGGAGAACGCCAAACATGTGGTCGTCGAATGTACTGCCTACACTAAGAGCCGAGCTCCTCAGAGAGACGGGGATATATACACTGACAGAGAGCATGTTTCCCCAGCTAATGAGTAGAGGGAATTACCCACGTTATAGGGAGTTCGTATACGGGTGGAAAGATGCGGTAGGCCCTACACATTTTAATCCGGGAAAAAGAGAAGGAAGCTAAGACAAGCTGCAGCTGCTTCGAGGGCCGGCTTCACGTGGAAGAATGGATAAAAATAAAGAAAAGTGATGTTTGTGGGCTCGAGCCCACAAGCAAGTCTACACCTCATAAGTAATAATGTTAACAAATTTTAATAGAGCTATACTGCCAGCAGTGGAATACGCATACTGCTGCTACAACCCGTATTGCCTATAAGGAAAGGCAGAGAGAAGAAGAAAAAACAATTAGAATTTGACATTCTTGTTCTATACCCACTATATTCATTAAATTTACAGTACATTCCTTTTAAAAAACAAATTTTTTGACCCACATCCAGAAATAAACCCTGACAAGAACACTACCGCCTCTACCATTCATTGCAGCAGACAAATTATTCTGTTCCAATTCCCTTCTAACTTTCCTCCACACCATGAATATTAAATTTAGGAGATGGTCCGGGGTGGCGGTCATAAATAGGCCAAATAGTGGTAAAACTATTTTATTAAAAGCCAACGTTTTGACCGGACTTTGAAGGTCTTCTTCAGGACCAGAACGGACAAGATACAAACGGATAGAGAATTGTGGAAGTTACATAATATTTAGACAAAAAATTATAAACAATGTGAAGAAGCTTATTAAAATTATAAACAGTAAGTAAATTAAAATACAAACAGAGTAAGCTAAGTAACATTACAATACAAAGTTTATAATTTTAATAAACGAGTTTTGGAACGAGGCCGATCTGTGAGAAGGAATGCAGAGGTCGGAAGGTCGAGATCTTGTGAAAAGGGAGTGGACTGAGGACTTGAATTGGAGAAGGTTGTAGGCGTAAGAAGGAGGATGATTGTTGATGGTTTGATAGAGGAACGTACCTAGGAAGTATTGTCTTCGAATGGAGGGGAAGAGCCACCTTAACTCAGTGTAGTGGTGAGAGACATGGGAGTATCTCGTGGCACCAATTACACCAGGTTTAGCCATGTTCTTCTGCTTATTACTCATAATTTAATATAAACTTCCGAGATTTCTTTTGGATGGACCATCACCCCCTCTCAATGGAAAGTCTGCACCTATGAACAAGGATTTATCCTGTTTGAAAGGATTATAAATACTCCTCTATTTTCCTAAAAATGTATGAGAAATGAATGGTCTGATATGAGGAAAACCTGCTTCCCATATTACGAAAGAGGCCGAAATAACATCAATGAACAGATTCTTCTACTAATCTTCTCATTAAGAACATGGCTTGATTTACAGATTCCTAGAAAAACTAAATTCTCCACTCACTGAAATCAGCATTTTTCAGTCTTAATGTATTCAGCCAGATTTACTCCACCATAGGAAGGGGATTTTGGACTTCCTGGTGGATATTTCTTTGGCTAAGTACATAACAACGAGAAAATTGGCCTACCCAAAACATAACTACATCACCATTAAGGTAGATAGATGTAATTAATAAATAGTTCCTGTGAAGAAATCCGTCATGAGCCTCCTTACCCCATATGTTAGAGGAGAAACAGACGTAATGCAGTGGATACGTTGAAAGATTGATATTTGGTTTCATATTCAAACTATGAGAAACTTTTAATAAAAACAAAAACGCTCTTGTCTTAGGATTTTAATTAGTTTCGCCGTATTAAAGGCCTAAAACTTAGGCCGAAACGTCGTCATAAGATTAATATACAGTGATGGAAAAAAATATTTGCACAACACGTTTTTATGAATAAAGTAGTTCAAGAAAACAAAAAAATTCGCTTTCCTTAGCAAAAATGAAAAATAAATTTATTAAAGGAACAGCTGTTGATGTTAAATAAGTTGAAAGGTTAATTTAGTTTTGTCTTCCAAAAAATGTGTTAATTAAGTGTAAGTACTTAATTTTTGTGTAATAAAAGTGTTTTATCAAGACAAGATTGCTAAGGACAAAACACCAAACAAAAATTGAGCGGATTTCACCGCCAACAATGGTGGAATCATCTCAAACTGAGGTAAGTAACATGAACTTTAAAAACAGTGATATAAACAATGAAGACGGCTCCTGGGAAATGGTTATTGGTCGTAAAAGACCTATGATAGATTCGAGCGAGCCAAGAGCTCAAAAACGACCGACAAAAACGAATCTATCCCAACCTCGAACAGTTTTCAGGTTCTAACCAACATAAGTAATTTACAAACAGAAAAAGTTAGAAGAACGCCTCAAAACGATAAAACTCCACCAATTTTTAAAAACGGTGTTGAGAATTACCATGCATTAATCTCATTTCTAGAAAACGAAACGGGTCCTAATATGTTTAAAACGAAGTCTACATTGAAAGGTGTCACTGTGTACCCAGAAAATCCTGACGTTTATCGAAAATTAAATTCTAGCCTGCGAAATAAAGGTGCCGACTTCCATACTTACCAACTTCCACAGGAAAAATGTCCAAGGATTGTTGTTAAACATCATCACCATGGAACACCAGTCGATATCATTAAAGAAGAGTTTAAAAAATTGGGTTACGAAGCCACCAATGTAGTTAACGTCATATCTCGATTTAAAAAACCCCTTCCTATGTTCTTTGTGGACA